GTATTCATCTTCCAAATATGAACAAAATCGCTTCAGTACTTTTCAAGTTATAGTAAAATATGTTAAAACACATTCCAAATATGAACAAGATTGCTAAACTTCTTATTTCGAGGTCGCGTAGCGACTACTTTGCGGGAGACCTCGAACCATTGATCACGTTTGCTCCTGTAATTATTCACTTCTTCACCTCTTTAAAATGTGATTTCAATCAGTTGATCAAATTTTCGGACTTTGACCTCAAATTCAATTATTAATATTTATAAGAAAAAATACTGACTCATTATTACATTTTTAAAAGTCTTTCAAATAAAGTGAAATGAAGCCAAAATCAGCTAAAATTATGCAATGTCATAAAATGGCGTTACTGGAATATGATGCAATCACCTGTGACGTCAGACACGTATTGCCACATAAACAACTAAACAAACAATTAATATAGACTTCACTGATTGGTTTAAAGATTCTTTGCATCATTTGTGACGTCATAAACATGTTACCCAACCAACAACTAAACAAATACCAAATAGGCATATAGGTTCGTTCAGTGCCACGCTCTTGAATCAGTTATAAACAGGATAATCAACAGATATATGATAGGGTCAGGAATTTTTTTGACTTGGAGACCTCGACTCGAGGAGTTTGCTGCATTTTCTTGTTGAGTTACAGCAAAAATTGTTAAATAGCGAGTAAAGGCTGCCATTTTTCAAGATGGCTGCCATGTGCTTCTGAAATACCTACATTTCTAGCTTTATTAATGTCCTATATAAATCTTTTACATCTAAAACATATTGCTATTACAGTTATACATATTGTACCTAAATTACTGTAAAATCGGCACTAAAATGGCCGCCATTTTAAAATGAGCTGCCATTTTGAAAATCGGCTTTCGAGCAGAACTTCTACCCCCATAAGGTATATGTGTACAAAATATGAACAAAATCGGGCCAATGGTATTTGAGTTATTGCCCGGACGGACGGACAAAGCCAATGATAACAGCATTAATTTCATTCAATGCACCATAAAGCCATGTGTCTCCTCTTTACAATGATATATCATTCATTGATATTTGGTCATGGTTGGGCGAGTAATCATTCCAAATTAGCTTTTGGCCAAGTTATAAACATCGCAAAAGTCAGTGTACAAAGCCTGATGCAATATTGGAAAAAACATAAAACCAATGCTGACTGCATCCTTTTCATTCAATGTACCAAAAAGCCAAATTACTCCTCTTTGCAATGGAATATTATTCATTCACAGGGAGTCATGACTGGCCGAATAATCATTAATTTTGCAAAGTGGGGCAAATTCAGCTCGGACCCAAGTTTTAAAAAATGCAAAAGCCAGTACAGAGGGCATAGGGGCTATTGGAAGAAGATGTGACAGGTGTGGCATAGACAGTTAAGTGTCCATACTCATACTCTTGCAAGAATACATCCTATACCTATCCAAATTGCCACCACTTCCTTGCACATAAAGATGCGCTCATCTGCCCACGTCATGCATGGTTCAGCCCTGAGTCATCTGTAGGTTAAAGCAGAGAAAAGCAGCACACGGGCAATTCTTTCTCGAGGTTTTGCAATATCTAGTGGAGGAATTGTGAGCACAGATGCTCCTAAGATAGCTCCAAAAGAAAAAGTCACAACAATTCAATTCAGAGGAACTTCCATTGGCACTTAGCCCTTGCACTGATTTTTGCAATTTCTAAAACTTGGCCAAGAGCCGATTTTGACCAAATGTGTAAACGGAAGGATTTCTCACCCAACCATTATCACATGTGAATGATAGACATATCATCGTAAAGAGGAGAGATGTGGCTTTATGCTACATTAATGAAATTGATGTAGTCATCACTAGTTTTGTAATTTTACAAAATAACTACTTGTTGCGTTTTTTTATACGCCCTGTATAATAATATACAGGATGCCAAAAAACAACAGCACCCCCTCTACAGCAAAATGTACTTTATGTTACATAGTGTGTCATATCCCATTTTAAAGACAATTTAATTCTGGAGTTACTTGAGAAAATTCAGCTCCATATGATATAATTTTACAGATTTACAGCTGATTATAAGTAGTTGGTATTGTCGCCACTTGCCCCTCGAAAAGCAGCTAATCTGGATGGATATGACTTTAGTGAAAATTCAAAGAAAGGTTCAGCATTGTGTAATCCTTGAAGAACTTTCCTCATCTATTTTCAAGAGGCCCCATCTCCATCATTTCCCCTACCATGTCTTTCACAATTAAACCTATATGTTCAGCATAGTTGAGATCTGGGCTATTTCCTACATATTCATCATTTTCAAGATTTGACTTTAAACCAGTAATAAAGTAGCAAACAAAGTACTGAAGTAGCAAACTTCGAAACAATATAGCTTTTTAAATTTAAAGTTTTATGAAATGAAATTTGACGTGTAACTCCAGAATTAAATTATCTTTCAAATGAGATATGACATGCCATATAACATTTAAGAGTTTTTGCTGTAGAGGGGGTGCCGTTGTTTTTTGACACCCTGTATATATGATAATATACTGGTATAATTGCCTCTGGTTTTTCAAAAATATGGTAGAAATAATTTCGAAAATCAATAGAAAGTGAAGCAAGAGATTAACTGCTATCAACAATGACCAATAAATAAAAATCAGAATGGCTCTCATTTCAGTTTATTTAAAAAAAAATACAGTGCACAGTGTTGTAAATATGTAAAATTTCAAAATTATAACAACATATATTCTAATTGTAAAATGGATTTTAAGAAATTAATAAATACTTGATTTCAAACAGATTATTAAATGGTAATGGTAAAAGAATGCTTACAGTATACCTGTATACGTCAACCTCTCAGTCATAAGATCTTTAATGTGTTCTTTCAATCATCTTAATTTAAATGACTGTAGACGGAAAATGAAATTGTAATATCAGAGGTGAGATTTGATTGTTACAGATACTATTCAGAATATAATACGTAAACTAAGTCCTCTTGATGAGAGGTTGTTTTTGCCGTTGTATAAACCCCTTTGCTCACTAAAATAACATCTATAAATTATGTCCTGTTGTGAAGTGTATGCTTTAGTTTTTGTTTCTTGCCAACTCCGCAAGTTGTTTGTATTGTATTTTATTTTGTTTTCCCCGAAAAACAAAATAGTCTCGCCCACTGTCCATATTAAACGTAGCAACTCTTGAAATAGCCATCAGTTTACTAAATATTTCATTTCACATGGACTCCTCATTTTGTCAATGATTGCCATGCTTTTTGCACACTTCTTGTGAGACTCGGATGTAGATGGTTTAAGTCAGCTTTCATTATAGTCTTTATTGAAGAATTGTTCTGATTTCAGTTCATTGATAGAGTCCTTAAAACCCTGGAAATATAAATTATAAAATTTAAAATTATATGGACAATATGACGTATTAAATTAAAATCTAATATATGAAATGATCATTCGAGAGCTATGATAGAAAGCAGCACATTTTATTTTGTCTTTTATTTTGATTTATTTCTTGAGCAACCAACCTGTATAGTGTCTTCTGTATCTTTGGGCAGAGCTCTACCTGAGTAAAACCCTGTTGTATTTTGTACTTCTTGTAGCCTTGACCTGTGACCTTCATTCAACCCTGACCTTTGACCCTCACGTGACCTTGGACGGCTTGCTAAGAAAGATTTATGTCTAGTTGCCATAGTAATACTGCTTGTTGATAAATCCTGTAAAAATATGAACTAGACTAAATGTGTGTGGACAATACTCACTGGTGTGAAAGAATTAATGTTCCTCATAATAAGGAGAGCCAAGTGTATAGTGGATCAAATGGATAATGAGTCTGGATTTTACCTATCCAGATTGTTGTATTTGATTGATTGTGTCCTAATAGATCTAGTTTTTTTTTCATTCTGCTATATAACATAACATAAACTAACAAAAATTAAAAAAGATAATTTTATTAAAAAATGAAAAATAGATCATACTTTGGTTGACAGCAGGTCATCTTCTCTGGAAGGCGACCTTGACCTTTCTGACCATGTAGGTGACCTTGACCTTTGATTCCTTGATCTAGAGTTTGACCTTGACCTTGTTAGTTCCCTGATGGCCTCGATATATGCTGATTCACCAGACCCAAGAACCTAAATTACAATACATCAAAACAAATATACTAAAACATAAGTCAAGATGGATACCAAACAAATCTTTTTTGAAACTGATAATCTAAAAACATGAAAACCTGGAACATTTTCAAAACATTTGTGTAGAAGTGTGATGTTGAAAACTTTGCTCCATATGATAATGTTGTCATGTATTTTCCAAATGAAATCATACGAGAGGTAAAGCTACTGAGGGGTGACTTCAAAATATCAATGTTTGACAAATTAATTTAGTTTTGACCTTGGCCCATCCCCTCTCCAGAACTAAATACTTCAAATAATGAAATCATGAAGGTTCCAATGGAGTTTCCTTTGTACTGCATGAATGTCCATCATATTTTTTGAACCATTTATAATTTATGATCTGTTTTATCTTCTACAGTAAGTATGGGGTAGGTAATGAGTCATTTATTTACATATTTGGGAAACACTGAAATGTTGAAAAATGTCAGATGGGAAACTAAAACATGCGTTAACTCCCTCCCCAAACTATTTTTTTTAGTTTCTTATCAGACATTGATATTTTGATGCTACCCCTAAAGCAGTTAAACATGTAAATAATTTCATACTGTCACACATTAAATACATTTTCAAATGATTTTCTTCACTTGTTTCAGTAAAATCTTACAGGAACCTGATTAGAACTTTGGAAGATGTTTTAATGTGGCCAATGTAAGAATATAGCCAAGCATTGATTTACAATATGTATTCAACAACAAACCTTATAGTTATATTGTTACAAATGGCAACACAAAATATTTAAATTGGTAGCTATTGGGGTAAGGAGTAAATGATACTAGTTTTGATTAATTTACATACATCCTGTAGTGTGTTGAGCTTGTGCTTTAAACCATCTAATGTGTCAGCTGACTGTTTACGTCCACTTTCTATAGTCTGGGCATGACGACTCATCTGTTGCTGAAGTTGTCTCTGAAAATACACAGAACCATCAAAACCAGTTACTGAACAAGGTATTAACTCAACCATTCAGCCATATAACATGGGAAGACAAGGCATTAACATATAAAAATCTTAAATGTCACAACCCACCATTTATTACGGATGCAATGGCGCCAAATGTGGAAAATCATCTGCCATAAATAAAAAATTGTAAACTATAACACTTTTTCATTATTTGCGGTGGTGATATAAAAATTGAATCATAAGTCAATAGTATCCTTACTTTTATATCATCCTGTTGTTGTTGAAACTCAAGATTTTCTTTGTCTTTTCTGACAGACTTCTTACCATCTCTCAATGTGACTTCCCTGGTTGGCACATCATCAAAGTCTTCATGGACCTGGAGAGTGGAGACATATAAAATATTGCATAACAAAAATAGTTATGTAGTATAGTACCTGTGTTGTGAAATTTTGCCTCAGATTTTGCTTTAAAATTTGCATTTTAATCAGTGTTGGTGACCTTTGAAGGACTTTCATATGGTAGGTCTATCGACAAATCTCTTATGACTTATAGTATATATAGAACTCTCCAATTAAAATGCAGATATTTTTATTCTTTTTCAAATATTTCATTATACTATATCATTAAAAAACCATGACAATAAATTGTATATGCTACATTGAATGACATCTATAACACATTGATTAGATAATGGAAATAAAATCTGCATATAAAAAACAGTAGGAAATATGTGTTCTTCATTGAAATTTCTTCACAGTGTAAGCACAACAATTGTCAACATAACAAGATGTCTTCATTTTTATTTCATTTCAAAGTTCGAGCAAGGCAGTTATTTATTAGTTATCTGTTTAAGATACATTTGAATTTTCTTGATCGTAGAATATAAAGGACTTACTAGTCTTAAGTTCTGCTTTAAAGTCAGCAGATGTTTTTCTATGTGTTCTTTTTGTTGATACAATATGTCAGTTTCTACTCCTGTGTTTTCAACCAGTCTAGACTTCTCTAACTCCTGTAAACCTTGAGAAACTTCCTGTAATTAGATAAACATCCATTTTGCCAATGATATGGGGTTCTTAAGCCTTGTAAACATTGGGAAACGTCATTGCAAGATTCAGGATCAAATTATTAGATGCAATCCTTCGATCTATCTACCTTGAGCAGTTATATCCGGAATTTTGTTAGTATGCAAAACTACCTGTTTTAATAACTTCAAGATGAAGTACAACCATTTTTCTCGACAATGAAACTTATTCTGTATTATAAAGTAACTATTTCTTTTATAATTCAATACAAACAAGAATGGCAATATATTTACAGATTTACAGGAACAAATCATAATGAAAATATACCAAACCTCTTTTATATCAGATTTAAGTTGATATAAAGCTTTCTCCAACTTGCTGTCCTTCTCTCTGCTTTGTTCTTTGATTCTTAACTGTGAAACAGAATAGAAAAATACAGTAGACTTTTATACGCTGGTGCAATATTAGCTCTTATCTTAGTCCTAATCTTTGTATTATTTCGACTTCGATTACATATTTACCCCACTCTACAACTGAATCATAGCATTTATTGAACAAATTGTACTTAGGAATGAAAATGTTATAATTTTGTTCAAAATATATAGATACTGATCATTTTTGGTACGGAAATCTTGGTTTCTCAAAATAATATAGTTGATATTGATATGTTTTCAAATCTAAATGAGAATAATGTAATATTTAAGTGATACATTGTGATACATGTTAACACAGTCAATCTCCAACAGTATTGTATGGTACCATTTTGCTACAGTTCTGTACGGTACCATTTTGCCACAGTACTGTATGGTACCATTTTCGCTACAGTACTGTATGGTACCGTTTTTGCCACAGAACTGTATGGTACCATTTTTGCTACAGTACTGTATGGTACCGTTTTTGCTACAGTACTGTATAGTGCCAATTGGGAATGTAATGCTGATACCTCTCTTTGTAGTGCTATGTATTGAGTGTGGAGATTATTTAGTTCTTCAGTCAGTCTATTAGCCCGTTGACAGTGGTCCTGTGATAAGGTCTGAAGTTCTTGTATTTGGCTAGCTGCAGTTCGTTTTTCCTTCTTTAATTCCTAAAATAGTAACAGTACATAATGAAGCTATTTTGGGTCATCCATACTGGGATATATGGGATTTGTTTTTCTTATGACTGCTATACACTTGAGTTTGCTTTTTTGCAAGGTTCAACAGATTTTGGTTCTTTCCCTTTGGTACTTGTGCTTAGATATTTTATTCTACAAAGGGACCGAATAAAAGGGCTACATACACAAAAAGTAGAGCCAAAACAGTGAAGACAAAGACAGTTGAAAAAAATTACATTAGGCTGCAACAATGATGATTTTAGTTACCATGAGTGTGTAGAACATTCGAGGCATAAAGGAGTTAAAAAAAAGTAATACAAAATCTGTGAAAGGGGACATAGAAATAGAGGTTTTTGCAGTAACAACACAATTACCTCGAAGTTATCCGTTATGAGAGGCTGAGGACTAATCTTGACATAATTTTCAATCTAAGATTATCAGTAGTATCTAATTTAAGCCGGACAGCCACTCAAAATGTATATGGAGCCCATAAGATTCATTTGTCTCAATTGAAGTCACTATTTCTGTTTTTAGCTTCAGAGGATAGGAGGTACATGAACATGCTAAGTTTACCTAGATCACAAGCCTAACCACAAATATAAAGTATATAGGAATAGAGTTGATATGTGTGAAAACCTTAAACTTCCCATTTTATTTGGGATAGAACTTGTGGACCATGTGTATTTCTAACTTCTTCACATGTGCATGGATCTAAAATTGTGGCAGCCATCTTGGATTTGTCATATTATGTGGACATGGTTTTGGTTGTGCTGAATTTGTTTCAAAATAACATTTCTTGTATACCTTCGATAAGTGAGATAGTCATTTGAAATTAAATACAGATAGTATACTTGACATTTAATGCAGTAAACAGTAATACAATTCATTCTTACATAATAAGTGAGTCCAGACAAAAAGTTGTTATTGTGTTAGTTTAACTGGACATAAATTACACTCATTGGCCTTGGTTTTCTTATTTGGCTTGGATAAAATGTTGTTCTATTTATTCAGAAAAGGAGTATAGTTCAATATACATGGTCACATTCATTCCATCTTCTTGTGGAAATGAATCTCATATCATTTCATCACAAATATAGAACACAAAAAATATAATAAAAAACAAGTTTCTATTAATTGCAAAAGTTAGCTTCAATGTCATGACTGAGTTTGGGTTCCGCTTCTAGGGAAAAATATCCATCTGGAAATATCGTATAGACCATTGCTATACACTCCATATTTAATCCTCCCAGTAAATAACATTGATATACAGTATTCAAGTATATATGACATCGATGATCTGGGGTTTGGGTAATGTGAGACATGAGGCCACTTGTCTTTTTGAATCTCATATTCAATATTCTTTCTTTAAACCCTCATATTTAATATTTTTGGAGTGGTAATTCAAGTATGTACCTATTTTTTATTCTTTATCCCATAGTTGAACTCTGTTCCGCTCTGCTAGGTAACATGAAAACATATTTATGATATTTTGCAAATGCGCATCCTCCTTAGCAGGCTTCAAGAATCCGTACCTCCTTCTTACAGTAAAAGTGCTACTGTAGAAAGGAAGAAGATATTCTGGATTTTGAAACCCTGCGTACGGAGGATGGCAAATGCGTGGAAAAAGTGATATCTGTGGAATACGGAAAATATTTCACAGATATCACCGGCAGGGATTTGAAAACTACCACCAATATGATATGTTTTGTTACATAGTGATTTTATGACATCAAGGGGATGAATGAATGAATGGATGTTGTTTTGATATGCTTTGTTTAGTTTTAGAGGTGAACTATGGGAAAAATAGAACATCCTATGAATTTTCGTGATATTGTGTTAATCCAACTCATTGATATCAATATCTGCGCTAATTCGCTATGCTAACTATATTGATATCAACTCGGAGATAAAGATAAAATCATTTAAAATCATATGATATCCTATACATATCCTTTACTGTGCCACAACTTTCTCATATGTTATATATTTTGGCACAGGCCATCATTTATTAGGAGGCCCCAACGGAGGGCCTCCTATTAATTTTATAGATATTATTATTATTAGGAGGCCCTCCTGAAAGGGCCTCCTATAGCTTTTGTAGCTTTTCTTTATTATTAGGAGGCCCTCCTGAAAGGGCCTCCTATAGCTTTTGTAGCTTTTCTTTATTCTTATTCTTTATTCTTTATTTATTATTCTTCCAAAGCATTTTTCTCCTACTTCCAACTACCTTTCAACTACCTACTATATGATCCTACTAGTAACCTTGGCTGGAATAGGGGGGAAAATATTTTTTATCTAGGTCAAGGTCAAAGGTCAAAATCTAGGTCAAATCTAAGTTTTTTTTAAGTTTCTCAAGTTTGTCATCATACTTCATTATTTCTTGCGATGAATTAAACTGAAACTACATTTAAGTATTCTCTACAAATTGTTCACTATATGTCAGCATTAAATTTTTACCGTTTTTGAGATATTTGACGTCAAAAAACGGTCAAAAAAGGTCATTTTTCAACTTGCTTCAATCTGACCAATTTTTTTTTTCAAAATCATCTACAAGTTCCAAGGAGTCCAAATCTGACCTCAGATTTGACCTTTGACCTTTAGTTGACCTTCAGTGACCTTCGAAAGGTCAGAAAAGTTGATTTTTCAAATTGAGTCTTTGGATTCAAATTTAGGTCAGTCTAATTACAAAAAGCCTACTGAGGTCTAAAAAAGTAAAAATTTCAAGGTCAAAGGTCAAGGTCATCAAATTAGGTCACAAACTGTGCTATCTAAGTTTCTCATAGTTCAAGACTACAAATCAATATTTTTAATTGAAAGTCAAGATATACATTTCTCTAAGGGTTCTACACATATTAGTCATTGAATATTTATTAAAATTTTGTCCCAGTTTTGAGATATAAGAGCTCATAAACTGAAAAAGGTCAATTTTTAAAAGTTTATAAGGTCAAATTTTAACTTGCTTCAAATTCACCCAACTTTTTTTTAAAAATCATCTACAACTTCTCAGGAGTTCATATTTAACCTCAGATTTGACATTCGACCTTTAGTTGACCTTCAGTGACCTTCGAAAGGTCAGAAAAGTTGATTTTTCAAATTAAGTCTTTGGATTCAAATTTAGGTCAGCCTAATTACAAAAAGCCTACTGAGGTCTTAAAAAGTAAAAATTTCAAGGTCAAAGGTCAAGGTCATCAAATTAGGTCACAAACTGTGCTATCTAAGTTTCTCATAATTTGAGACTACAAATCAATATTTTCAATTGAAAGCCAAGATATACATTCCTCTAAGGGTTCTACACATATTAGTCCTTGACTATTTATTAAATTTTTGTCCCAGTTTTTAGATATAAGAGCTCAAAAACTGAAAAAGGTCAATTTTTCAAAGTTTATAAGGTCAAATTTTAACTTGCTTCAAATTGACCAATCTTTTTTTTCAAAATCATCTACAAGTTGTCAAAAGTTCACATCTGACCCCAGATTTGGCATTTGACCTTTAGTTGACCTTCAGTGACCTTCGAAAGGTCAGAAAAGTTGATTTTTCAAATTGAGTTTTTGGATTCAAATTTAGGGTAAGCCTAATCATTAAAGACCCATTGAGCTCTAAAACAGTAAAAATTTCAAGGTCAAGGGTCACGGCTATCAAATTAGGTCAAAGGTCAAAATCTAGGTCAAATCTAAATTTTTTTTCAAGTTTCTCAAATTTGTCCTTATACTTCATTATTTCTTGCGATGAATTAAACTGAAACTACATTTAAGATTTTGTCCCAGTTTTGAGATATAAGAGCTCAAAACTGAAAAAGGTCAATTTTTAAAGTTTATAAGGTCAAATCTTCGAAAGGTCAGAAACGTTGATTTTTCAAATTGAGTCTTTGGATTCAACTTTAAGTCAGTCTAATTACAAATAGCCTACTGAGGTCTAAAAAAGTAAAAATTTCAAGGTCAAAGGCCAAGGTCATCAAATTAGGTCACAAAATGTGCTATCTAAATTTCTCATAGTTCAAGACTACAAATCAATATTTTTAATTGAAAGTCAAGATGTACATTCCTCTGAGGGTTCTACACATATTAGTCATTGACTATTTATTAAGATTTTGTCCAGGTTTTGAGATATAAGAGCTCAAAACTGAAAAAGGTCAATTTTTTAAAGTTTATAAGGTCAAATTTTAACTTGCTTCAAATTCACCCAACTTTTTTTTTAAAATCATCTACAACTTCTCAGGAGTTCATATTTAACCTCAGATTTGACATGTGACCTTTAGTTGACCTTCAGTGACCTTCGAAAGGTCAGAAAAGTTGATTTTTCAAATTGAGTGTTTGGATTCAAATTTAGGGTTAGCCTAATCGACTGAGCTCTAAAGCAGTGAAATTTTCAAGGCAAGGGTCACGGTTATCAAATTAGGTCAACGGTCAAAATCTAGGTCAAATCTAAATTTTTTTTCAAGTTTCTCAAGTTTGTCCTTATACTTTATTATTTCATGCGATGAATTAAACTGAAACTACATTTTAGTATTCTCTACAAATTGTTCACAATATGTCAGCATTAAATTTTTACTATTTTTGAGATATTCGACGTCAAAAAACGGTCAAAAAAGGTCATTTTTCAACTTGCTTCAATCTGACCAATTTTTTTTTAATAATCATCTACAAGTTCCTAGGAGTCCAAATCTGACCTCAGATTTAACCTTTGACCTTTAGTTGACCTTCAATGACCTTCGAAACCTAAAAAAAGTTGATTTTTCAAATTGAGTCTTTGGATTCAAATTTAGGTAAGCCTAATTACAAAAGACCTACTGAGGTCTAAAAAAGTAAAACTTTTCAGGGTCAAAGGTCAAGGTCATCAAATTAGGTCACAAACAGTGCTATCTAAGTTT